CCGCGAAGGTCACAGAGGCCGCACAAGCCAAGCCCTAGAGGTCAGAGGAGCATGGGGCTGACTTCATTTCCTGGAGCTGCTGCTACAAGAACCACACACGGAGGGCTAGAGCCAGGGAAATGGTACCATCTCCCAGTTCAGGGGGCCAGGGCCAGACCACGGTGTGGGCAGGGCCAGTTGTCTCAGAGGCTGTGGCAGGCCTCTCCAGCCCCTCAGCCCCATCCCTTTCTCTCTTTTTTTCCCCTCCTCCTCCTCTTTCTCCTCTTCCCCCGTTCCTCCTTTCTCTTCCTCCTCCATTCTGTCTGTCTGTCTGTCTCTGTCTCTCTCTTTCTCTCTCATCATAGTACTGATGTTTTTAGAAAATATTTCTCTGGAAGAAAAAAAAGTCTTAGTCCCAGCATTATCGACAGCTAGGTTAGGTAGAAACATCCCAGGCAGTCAGCCGGGGCTGGGCCTCGAGGCGGTCAGTGTGAAGATGAGACCACAGCACAACTGCGGCTGGAGGGGCTCCTAGGATCACAGTCACAGTGGCCAGATTGACACACCTCCCTCAGGGAGAAACGGAAGCTTGAGATGATTGGCACTGCCCTGTAGAGATTTCCTGTGTTATAAACATCATCTCATTAGGGGTGCGACAGCCATCGCCTCCCACCCTAGACTAAGACTAGAGACAAGATACAGATTACTGGTCAAGGTCAGTGGGGTCACCCAGGCACACTTGCCGTATGACCTGCTCCCACTGGATCAGCATTACCTACAGGGATCTACTTGTAATCTTGTTGGTTAACATGGTTTTATCCCACGTTGTACTCACCTCGTGATCTTGCTCTCTAAAACTTCCTTTGAGCAGAAGTCTCATTGACAACCCACTCGAGGCCCCTCCGGTCTCTCAGGAGCTAACCCCACTCCCTATTCCTTTTCCTCAATAAATTTTCCTGTGCTTAACTTTTGTTGTTCCTTAGAACTCATTCTTTGACTTTGGGGTCAGATATTCAGCATATCAGATATCTAGCAGGTCGGGAGTTATGTTCATTTCCCTTGTGTTATTTGGAGGTCCTATATCACCAGCAACCCTCTGTCTTCATGGAACACCCAATTGCTTGGACCAGACCATTCACACCACCCACCTACCCAGCGGGCAGCTGTCAGGCCCCCTTCCTGCCACCTTCCTGCTCAGGAAGAGCTCCTAACACGGGGCCTTCAGGAAAAAAAGCCACGCTCAAGTTGGCCTGTCCTTGATTTTATCCCAGAGAGCAGGAAGGAGGACCAGAATAGCCTGGAAGCAAGGTGTGAACTGCTTAGCATCCAGAGCATCCAAATTCTGGGCAGCTCTTGAGAGTCAGAGGCCCCTCATACTTTGAGAAGTATCTGTTCGATTCATTTGCCTCATTAGTTGGCTGAGTTATTTACTTGGGTGATATTAAGTTTTTGAGTTCTTCATATATTCTAGATATTAATCTTGTGTAGGAAGAGTAGTTGCCAAAGATTTCCCCTGTTCTGCAGGCTGTCTCTCTGCTCTGTTGACTTTTTTCTGTGCATACGTTTTTAATTTGATAGAGTCCCACTTGTCAGTTCTTCCTGCATGAATATTACTCCCTGCATGTACCCCTACACCACATTGAAACCCCACCCCACATCAGTGGTTCCAGTTACCTGATTTCCCTTCCAACTACCCTGCAAGCCCCAGCATTGACACCGCCCCAGGTCTCAGCACAGACACTGCCTCCTCCGGCAGCCTTCCCTGACTGCCTCTTCCTCAGCTCAGGACAAAGAATGAAGGAGCTCAACATCTCCTTAATACCCTTCCAATGACACGTGGCCGTGCCTCCCTTCCCCAAAGCTAAGCAGGCACCGAAGCTGCTTTAACAGTATCCAGGGGGTGAACCTGCCATAGTTCCAAACTGGCATTCATCAGCACAGCTGCCCACTTCCCCTCTCACAGCCCTGAGCGAGCTTGTCCAAAGTCTGGTGCCCAGCCAGACACAACGGTCCTGACTACATCAAGAAGGCAGGCCAGCCTTCCAGCCATCCCCAACCAAGACACCAGGCATGCAAGAAAAGACATCCTGGACCCTCCAGAGCAGACCAGCACCAGACAAATCACATTTAACAGTCCCAGTCAATGCTGTGTAAAGCAGAAGAATCACCCCATTAGCCCTGTCCGTGTCTCAGATCCATTAAATCAGAAAATTCATTAAACATGGGGGCATTGCTATCATGCAGAGCACTTCACTTCTATTTATGTCCATCAAGGGAATCATTTGATCGATGATCAAAGATGGTCTTATTTTTTTAATGTTTTACCTTTAAATTCTTTCCTCCACTAGATGGTAAATTCCATCATGGCAGGAACCAAACCTATATTGCTTATCACTATGGACACAGGATCTGGTGTGTGGTATGCACTCAATAAGTAATGACTGGGTAAGAAAATAAACAAATACATCAGAGTTATGGGCAGGCAGGCAGGCGAAGGCTCCAGGTCAGAATCAAGGGAAATTTGCAGGGAAAGTGACATCTAAATGTGAAGAGCTGGAGGTCCAAAGGGTGTAGCCACAGAGGTTGGGAGCCTGCTCCAGCCACACCAATTACAAGCATCTCCAAGCCACATTTTGGTCTCGGTTATCTTCATGTCTTCATCACTAAGCACAGCCCCAGAAAGCAACAGGTCCTGCCCATCGCTAAAATGAACTAAGGACTACATGGCATCTTGGGGAGGCCAAGCTGGAAATCAGGATCCTGCCTGATTTCTCAAGCCCAGCAAGTCACTGTATATCCCCGGTAAACGAAGCCATTCAGCTTTCCTGGTGCCCTGGATGCTTAGGATTGAGCCACTGGCTCCATCTCTACCTCTCTGGGTTACTGTCAGGGCTGAGAAAGCAAAGATGCTACCATTCTTTGAAAAGGAATCATTCAAGTGGAATCTTGTGCTGTTAGAAAAAACTGTGCAATGATAGTTTCTCTAAATGTTACACCTACCCCAGGAGGAACCCCAGCCCTCCAGGGCCATCACAAGTCTTTCTTCAAGTCCTGTGTCACCGGCAACTCACCTGGGTGAGGCTACCCATGACGTAGAACCCCCGGGCAGCTATGGGTTGACAGGGACCAACTGGGGCCTTGAGGACACGTGGCCCACAGAGCCTGGAGCAGTACCCTGGACTTGAGTGGGGAGACCTCAGTTCCCTCCCTGAACCAGATCTCTCAGCCAGAATGGACTGCAGACACCAAGTGAATTCCCTCCCCTTCTTTCTTCCTCTTCCTCTCCTCCTCTCTTTCTTCTCTTTCCCTTATGTGTCAGTATGTTTCATCACTAGGATCAAACACCTGACAGAAACAACTTAAAGAAGGTAACATTTAGTTTGGTTGCTCGTTTCAGAGATTTCACGCCATGGTTGGCCAGCCCCATGGCTTTTAGGCCTCGGTGAGACAGAAACATCATTGTAGGAGAGCCTGGTGGTAGAAGATGGGGAAAGAGAGAGGTAGATGACAGACAGACAGACGGACAGACAGAAAGGAGGGGTCAGGAGCAAAATAAACGCTTCGAAGGTGTGTCCCCAGTGACCTCCTTCCTCCAGTGGGCCACATGACCTCTACCATCACCTCCCAATAAAGGCAGCAAATTACGGTCTCCTTGATGGGTGAATCTGCTGGCAGGCCACAGGCCTCATGACCCAAGGTTCTCCGAAAAGCCCCTCTTGTCATATGAGACTTTTGAGGGTCACTTTAGGCCTAAAGCACAGCACCTTCCTTCCTTCCCTCCCTCCTTGTCTCTTCTGATTCTTTTCCCCCTCCTTCTCTCCCTTACCCTCTACTTTCTTGTTGTTCACAAATCTCTCCCTTCCACGGGATGAGCTCGGCCCACCACAGTGAGAATAAAACAAGCCCCAGGCCCTGTCCTCAAGGTAAACCAATACTCGCAACACTCTCCTGAGGCTCCCTAAATCAGGGTTTCCCCGACAGCCAGGAGGAGGGCCCTGGCTCAGCACACACACTGTGCAGTGAGCCCCAGAGAAGAGGCAGCTGGGGTCATTCAGTGCCCTGGGGTCAAGGCTGAGCCCAGCTTCCCAAGAGACTGTGCTTCCTTTGCCCCTGGGGGAGCCATCAGCACATCAGCATCTTGCAGGGCGCCCCAGCTGCTTGGGCCTGGCCACGTCCTAATTAGACTGTCATCGCGTGACAAGCAGCCTGCTTGGCCCGATTGCCAGCTGGGGCTTCTGCTCCATCTGGTGGCTTAGTTAATGAACCCATGAGGGGCTGGCCAAGCTTATTATAGGTGATGTGAGGGAGTAGGGACCTCCTCCCATGTCCCCCAGTCCTGCCTCCCCCCAGTGTCACACTTCAAATGGTAACGGAACTGATTCTAAACCAAAAGGAAGGAGCTGGGCAGGAGATGAGGCCCAGCCCCCTGCCCAGCCTGGCTCTACAGCTGGGGACAGCCCAAGACACAGCTGGTTCCAGGAACAACGCAGCCAGCACTGTGGCCCGTGGCCAGGGATGTGGAGCCTTCCCTGGTGGACAGGACTATGGGCACTCAGAAGTTGGGTGTGAGAAACTGGACTGGAAGGATTTGTACGTCCTAAATAAGACAGTAAGACTGGTGAGAGCCTGGGCTCCACGGTCCTCTGAGGACCTGGAAGAGACTGGCTCCATGAAGACCAAGTCTGAAGGTCACCATGCTATGGGACCCTGGACGGGTGGCACCCAGTAAGACACGGCACGACAGGCTCAGGGTGTCCCGAAAGAGGTCTCTTCTGGGCCTAAGTGGTGCTGGCCCTACACCAAGCACTTGGCAGGACACAATGATAATACCAACCACATCGGGCACTGTCTGTTCGGGACAAGCACTCTTCTAGGCTCTCAACTATTTTGAACACAGCCTTCTGTGGGGAGCTACTTCTCAGCAGCATACAGACACTGAGGCTTAGGTACAAGTGCCCCGCAGACCCAGCGCCCTGAAGGACCTTCCCTGGTCCCTCCCAGAACCTTGGCAGGATTCTCACTTGAACTGGTGCTCCCGGGAGCTGCGGATTTTGGAGGAGAACCGCTCGGCCAGCTTCTCCAGGCTGCGGGAGTACTCAAGCTCGATCTCGGCCTTCCTGCGGAAGAACTCCTGGAGGTCCTGAAGCAGCTGCAGGCGTGACTCGGACTGCTGCTCCAGGCATTTGAGCTGCTCTACCAGCTGAGTGCGGATCTCTGTGGAAGGAAGCAAGGATCACTGTGTTAGGCAGCCGTGGGGCAGCCAGGGACCCGCTCCACGGACGCAGCAAAGCCAGGCCAGGCTCTGAAACCACAGCAGCCGCCTCTCCATAGCCCACTGCCACCCAGAGCCTCTGGAGCCCTTGGTTGGCAGAGCACGCCACAGGATGTGGCACTCAGTCTAACCCAGTGATGTTGCCGCCGTAGTTTTTCCCATGCCCAAATCCCACCAGGTGATATTGCTTCCCCGTTATTTAGTACATAGACTTGCTCTTCTAACTGCAACGAATTTGTTTAAAATGAAGAGGTCTACACCGCCACAATAAAGTGGAAAACCAGCAGCACTTGTAGCCTGGGACATAGGAAATGAGTTCAATAAAAACACTTTGATAAAACCCTCTTTAGACACTGCCGCTCCCCAAGGTCCTCAAGCTTAAGCTGTCGGCTCTGCGTGAACATCAGGAGAGGTGTGAAAAGGGACTCTTTCCTGGTGCAGTCAGGACCAGGAGCTCACAGCTCCCCCATGGGTTTCAGTGTTATTGACGGCCACGTCTGCTCTGCTTCAAATAACCGTGAGTACTGCATATAAACAGCTCAAGGACCATTAGAAGAAGGAGCCTGCACTTCAGGAAGTACTGATGATCCAACCAAGTCTGTGCACCCAGGACAAAAGCTGGTGTCAGACGTCACAGCTGAATCCTCGTAACCACGAGCAGTCTTCACACTGGTCAGTAGTGCAGTCAGGGCCACAGTGCCCGTGCAGCGCCTCCTTCCCAGTCACGCACAAGTCCCCAGATCTGCCTCCCTGAGTACTCTGTTCTCAGAGGCCACCTGCTCACGGATACCCCAGAGCTTTCTCTGCCTGACCAAGGAGTGCAGCTCCTGAGCAAGGAGTCCACCACCCCACCGAGCTTGACTTCTTACATTTCTCTCTCAATGGGCATTCCAAACCATTCAAACTCACCTTGAAATATCCAATCATATCTGTCCAAAAGCACACCCTGCCTGGGATGGTGGCCAGCATTACTTCAGCCTCTCAGGAAAGGGGGCTTCAAACTGGACTAAACCCCTCTGAGGCACAGAGTCCCGAGGGACTCAAACTGAGACCCTGACTCTGCATCGTTTGTTTCCGCTCTTGACTGCTCTTCTGAGGACATGCGTTTGTAAGCACTCTCCTTCCCGTCCCTCTTCCCAAGGTCCTGTTCCCTCTTTACAGGAAGAAGACCAATGCTTCAGTCACCCAGGATCTGACTAGGGTGCAGCATCCCGAACTGTCAAAGCATCTTCAAAGCTAATCCAGACGGCTGGCATAGGCAAATCAACCTTTAATCAAGGGACCATAATCAACCTTTGCTATTCAAAGTATGTCCGTGTACCACCATCACCAGTGTACCTCAAAACATGGAAGCACCCAAATTCACCAAGATGTATACATTAAAATATGTGCAGTCTTCTATAAATCCATTATACTTCAGTAGCACCAGAAAAAAAGAAACAGAATCACAAGCCCCAGTTGAGATGTTCTGACTCAGAATCTGCATTCAAAGAAGACCCGAGGCCATCTGATGCCCCAAAAGTCTGAGCAGCACTGCCATCAACCACCCAGTTGGTCTCATCCTCAGAAACGTTACCAACACTGCTATGGATTAGACTTGAAATGTGCCCCAGAACTCAGGTGCTAAAGCATGCTTGGCAGCTAATGAGCTTTGCAAAGGCCTTGGGTCATGCATGAGGGCTCTAACTCATCCGTGGTCAGTCCTTTGGGGAGATTCTAATTTAATGGCATAATCAGAAGGTAAAAGAAACAGGAAGTGACCCAGTTGAGGGGAGTGGGTCAAGGAAGCGTGATCTCAGGGGCTATGTCTGCTCCTGGCTCCTCCCTGCTTCCCGCTCTCTGTCTCACGCTCTCTACTTCCCGGCTGCTGTGGGACGACAGCTCTCCTCACCACCACGACTGCCCTCCTCAGCACAGGCCTACAGCGAGGGAGCAGCTGACCAGGGACCGGCATCTGTGGAACTGCGTCCAGAATAAATCTTTTCTCCTCTAAGCCGATATTCTGAGGTATTTGGTCACAGTAATGAAAAGCTGACTAAAACATCCACAGTGTTGCTTTTTGTGTTTAACAGTTTGTCAAATGTGTACAATATTAACCGTATTCTGATTAACTATGTATTAGTGATCACTGCAACAATAAATCAGAAGACAGATACTCAGAACCATGTTATCAAAGAGCAATTTCAAAATTTCCATTTCAACTTACATTTACATTTTGGGTACCAAAAGTATGATAATCACAAAAACATTTGAGGTGCAAATATATATATATATATATATATATATATATATATGATAAAAATTCTGTGAAGGAACTTGAAGAAAATTGTGACTCCAAGAATATAAAAAAAGTGTTAACTTTTTTCTTGTTTGAGTAATTTTGATGGAGATTGGGTTGCTGCTATATTGTGGTATTTATACCATACCCTAGCAAACCCTCTCATGGAGATGTATCCCAAAGAAATCAGTGTTCGTGCTGCCTCAAATACATACAAGAATAAGAGCTTTGGGCTGGGGTTATAGCTTAGCAGTACAGCACCTGCCTGGTAAGTGTAAGATCATGAGATCGACTTTTGGTACCAAAAAATAAAAAAAAAGAGCCAAGTATTAGAAACAACTCCAAATGCTCAATAATAGTAGAAGGGATTTTAGCATGAGATACTTTTAGTGAGATTCTACACAATGATTAAAAAAAGAACGGACCTCTTCTATCCGGAGCAACATGCTTGAAGCTCAATGTTACTGAACAGTGACGGAACAAAGGAGACCAGGAAGCAGTGGTTCACAGTGGCAGAGGTGGAAAAGCTGTCACTTGGAGAAGGTGTGAACTGAGGGAGAAAAGGGTCTCTGGAGCTGGAGACGCCCCATGCCATGCTCAGCTGACAAAAGTTAGCTGAGCTGCACACCTGAGCTGTGCATATTCTTCTATATTCACATGATGCTTCCATAAAAAGACAAAATAAAAGTCCTATGTAATTTGGTTTCCATTTGGCACATTTTTGAGCAGGGCATAACGTTATTCTAACATGTCAATATTCAAACCACAGCAGAAATAGATCCTTTGTGGCTACTTAAACTTAGAATGAAACATCTTAGATGTTGTTAGGAGCCACCGAAGCAGGAAATTGACCACACATGCAAGGTTGGAGCATGATCATCCCAAGAACAAAGAGCGCCTGGGGCAGCCCCGTGAAGAAGCTGCTTCAGCCCAGAGAACACCTGGCCCCAAGACAATCTGAACAGTGGGTTGCTAGGCCACCATGGTATCATGTGATGTTAAGTCACTCCTGCAGTGAGAGGCCAGCAACCTTTCCTCCATCAGGAGGGTAAGGGCTCCATCTGACCCCAGCTTGGTCTCTTCATTGGCTTCTCATCCTGTTGCGGTCCTTCCCCCCACCCCCCGCCCCCAGAACCTCAAGGGCCACATGGGTTGTGGCAAGAAGTCAAATTAAAATGTGTGAAGCACAAGAAGTTTTCTCCTCACAAAACGTTCACACAGAGGAAAGGCAAGCCAAAGGCTGACCGCCATGGCTGCTGAGCCCACACTAGGCACAGCCCTCCTCCACCTCCACGGTGCTCACGGCTCATTTCTGATGCCTGGCATAGTGGTGGCTCCTTTCACCCTTTCACACATGTCACACACACCTACCTCACAGATAAGATCTCAGCTCCCAGGGTGGGCCCTCCCAGCACAGGGTAGGTCATGTGTATATAATACCAACCACGCTGGTCTTCACCAATGTCTTTGCCCAAGTGCACCTTGTGGTGATGAGAGCTGCACAGGTCACAGTCACACATACACGCATCCCACATGGGCACACACATTTGCACTATATGCAACACATACCTCACACATATGCCGCACACACCCTACACTACGCACACACCATTCACCACTGCTGGGGTTTTATATCTTGATGTCCCCCAAGCCTTGTGTGCTCATAATGGGGCTTTGGGAGGTAACTGGATCATCAGGGGATTAGGGAGCTAAGGAATTTGCAGTTCAATGTGATACGGGGAGGTGAAGCCTGGCTGGAAGAGATGGGTCACCAGAGGCATGGCCTGGAAGGGTCTATGTCCTCCTCTCCTCCCATGATCCTTCACTCCTTCCTGTTGCCATGCGATGGACTGGATTTCCTCTGCCCTGCCTCTCTGCCCTGCTGTCCCGCCTTGGAGCCAGCTGACTAGGGACTGAAACTTCTACAAGTTGTGAGCCAACATAAAGGTTTCCTCCTTAGAGTTGTGGGTATGAGGTACTGTGTCTCAGGAGAAAGTAACTAAAACAGTCACAATACATTATACGTACCACTCATGGACCACATACACCATACAGTATATCACGCACTCTTGATGTGTCATCTGCTTTATGAACCAACTCAGGGATCCATCTAACATCCTAGTTTGTTCCATAAACTACCACAAATTACTCAGGGTCACTGCTAGGTGGCCACTAGCTGTCCTAGACTCTGGGCCTGTCACTCTCCCAAGACCAAGTCCAGTCATGCCAGCATGCAGTCAAAACTATGATTTCCAAATATGGTTCAAATTACTTTTAGACCATCCTCTAGCACAAGGATCTTGGTAACCGCAGCTGGCGTTCAGAGAATTTATTCTTTGTTCCAGGCTAGGCATCAAGTTCCAGGGAGGCTCCTTGCACATAGTGGGCCACAGTAACCCTAAAGGGTGTTACAAAGAGGGGTCTCCACTTTTTCCCTAGAATGAGGAAGTGGCAGCTCAGGGGAGGTCACTAGCTCAGGATCCTAGCAGCTGGTGCATAGGAACCACACTGAGACCCCTCAGAAGGTGACAGCAGTGTTTTTGACAATGGAATAACTGAAGTTCCCATAGACCTACACAGTCTTATTTTGAGCATTAGCCTTATTTCCTATATTAAAATAAAACCAAGCCACTGTCTTCCATCTCCCACCTGTTGCGTCCTGTA